GAAAACTTTATCATATCTATTATATATTAAAATTTCATAATTAGGAAAAAATCCATAATCAGTTAATTCTTTCTGAAATAATTGAAATGCATAAATATAGAATTAAATAATTGGTGCTGAAATTTTGCCTCAGGATATTTACATCATTATTTTTGTCTTCTAAAATATGTGCTATTTGGGAAATATTAAAATAATAACTTTTTCCTTTCTACAAGGAAATTACTGATCTTCAGGTTGGTTATTTCTAACCAAATATAGCTTTGAGAATCTTTCTGCTTGACAATCTATGAAGCTCCCTGCTCATTTCCACTTAGGGAATGAAAGTTTACCACAGGCAGTCGCCCAGTTCTAGGAATGCAGCTCCCATTTGGGGAATGTACTGATGGGACTAACTACCTGGTATCTAAGGTTTCCTGGGTCTCAGTGAGGAATGTAGAATAGTGGAGAAAAGTGAAGGGTTTTCTCTTATTCTACTCTTGGGTAGCTAACAAATAATCAAGCTTATTGTGGTAGGTTTTTTAATGCCTTATTTACTTAGTCCTATAATTGTATTATTAAGTTTCCTTTTATTTAAGAAAGTTATAATAAAATCATATTTAATTAGAACTCAGAATCTGTGGTAATTTTTAAGAAGACTAATTTGCGGCCGGAAGTGGTGGCTCAAGCCTGTAATCCCAGCACTTTGAGAGGCCGAGGCGGGCGGATCACAAGGTCAGGAGATCAAGACCATCCTGGCTAACACGGTGAAACCCCGTCTCTGCTAAAAAATACAAAAAATTAGTCGGGCGTGGTGGCGGGCGCCAGTAGTCCCAGCTACTCGGGAGGCTGAGGCAGGAGAACGGCGTGGACCCGGGAGGCAGAGCTTGCAGTGAATGGAGATCCGGCCACTGCACTCCAGCCTGGGAGACAGAGCTAGACTCCATCTCAAAAAAAAAAAAAAAAAAAGACTACTTTGCTTTTCACTATCTGTAAAGTTTTCTAAATAAAATAGTAACGTAAAAAATTAGTACCCTTACAATGATTAAAACATCCATTCACGTACTGAAATTAACATGCTAACTACAAAACATCATTAAAGCCAGTCTTTCTGTCAAAATGCTTTGTTAGCCTAATTGTTACTGTTAAATATACAAAAGTAAAAAAAAAAAAACCATACATGCAAAGTATTATTTAGACACTTCAGTAATTCAGCCAGCCTCATCCTAATCTGTTGAAGTAAATGAGCGCCAAGTAAATGTATGCCATTTCAATAATAAAGAAATTGATTAAAATTATCAAACTCTAAAATTTTGAAAGAAACAAAAGTTGAGTAACAGATGGATAAAAAGAATCCATCAGAAACACAAGAGGTGGGGGTGGATATATTCCTGAAATCATTAGAAATGCATTTAAGAAAAACATTAAATTAAATTAAATGGCTCCGAAAAAGGGTTTTGTGAGGGAAAATGTACTCTTAAATGTAAAACATGCAAATACATTACCTGTGTAATTCTTTTAGTTCATGCTCACAACACTTATTTAATTGTGGTACGTTTAGGAAATCGCAGGGTTTTAAAAATCGTTATTATTATTCTTAATTACTTTAAACCAACATTGGATCAAAAATAATCACAGATTAAATCTAATTTTATAGGAAATGCTTAAACAAAATTTTAACTGATCAGCGGACCATCAAGAATTCTATACTTTGGTAGATATCTTATTAAGAGTCAAATTATGAGTCTTATTCTCAACGCTTTTCAATCAGGTCTGTCCATATGATTTTTTTTCCTTATGGAGAGAAAAAATTTATAAGACCCCGCCTCCTTTATTTTTATCACAGATCTCTAATTTTAGAATAAGCATTCTTTCCTCTTCTAAAGCAAGAGACTACAGATTGCTCTTTTCTCTGCATTTGCATCTCTCAAAAAGAATAAATGTCGAGAAATCCTAAAGGCAGAGCTTAATAAGCAGAGAAATACCTTCAATGGCCTTCCTTTTTCAAAGAGCACCTGAGTCAGTAGCTTTAGAAGCATATAACTTTTCCTGTATTGATTTGTGGAAAAGGTTGCCCTCCTGAAGCATTTTCTTCCATTCAAAAATGAGACTTTGCTACATATTTACTAAACTTCTATAATAGGTAGTAAGTGGAAAATATAGTAAGCAGATTTGGCCTTTGAAGCAAAAAAAGAAATATGTAAACATTTTTAATACCTAATATGTATGTATTTCTGCACTTATTTATTACTCTTGATACTAATATGATAGGATGTAAATAATTTTCAATGTGCAATTAGTCAAAAATTTTAGAAAACTAAGGATGATTTTATGGGATGCCTTTATGAAAGGCACTCAGAGCTTTAAGCTTACGAACTTAGTTCTAAGCTGTAATTATTTATCGTCTTATAGACTTTGAACCATAGATATTTGGAGCTTCAAAAAAGATGTTTTACTCAAGTTATTTTTGTATGCTAAAATGTTACCCTTTTGAAAACATAGAACTATTGTTTAAACAGCAGCTACACAACTCATGCATATTTGAATCTGAGGACTAGAAAGAACTGTGTAAAATCATTTAGAGCATTTTTCATGAGTTTTTATTGTGAGACTATATCCTATTTTTAAAAATTTTGTGAAAAGTTTAGGTACTCCTTAGGAAACTTCTTATGTTTAATTGAAATGGCCTCAGCAATCTTTATTCTTACTCTAAACCTCTCATTTTGTAATTTAGACATACTTCATATTCTATTCTGAGAACACACTAAAATTGGGTGTCTCCTACCAGATAGTGAAACTTTGTAAGGAAGATACATTGCTCAGAATTGTGTAGAACTGGCACAATCTCGACTGTAAAAGCAGTAAGATAGAATGATCCAGAATCAGACCCCAATCTATATTTAGTATATAACTTGCTGAATCATCCAACAGTGGAGAATAGATGTTTTAATCAATGTGTGATTAGAATAATTACAATAATTATTAATTTTTAGTCTTTTCTCATTTTGTACAAAATTAATCCCAAATAACTAATTAAATGTAAAATAATGAAATTATAAAACAAATAGAAGAAAATACAAGTGAATATTTATAGCTTTCAGAATGAAAAGAAAAAATATAAAAGCAAAGAAGAAGTCACAAGGGAAAAAGACTGACAAATTTCATTAAATAAAAATTAAAAAAGCTTTCTGTATAAAATATATCACGCACTAAAATTAAAACTTAAAATCACATGGAAAACATATGTTCAACTAACTTAAGAAACAGTAACTTAGGATTAGTACACCTAATGTAAAAAAAAAAAAAAAATTCCTTCAAATTAGTAAGAAAAACACAGACACCCTAATGAAAAAATAAGCTAAGGACACAAATAACACAGACACCCTAATGAAAAAATAAGCTAAGGACACAAATAGACAATTGACAAAAGATAGAGTAAAATTTGCCAGGAAGCGTATATATTCTACTTCACTAATAGCTAAATAAAAGTTACTATTTTTATCTATCAAGTTGGCAGATTTAACCAAATGGTAATATTGAATGGTTGGGAGTGTAGTAAGACAGGCTCCTTAATACATTAGTGGTGGGAATTTATGAGATGGAAATTTATGAGATTTGTAGGGGAGGGGGATAGACACTTTTTAATCAAGGTCTTCAACAACATTCACACAATTTAACCCAGTGGTCCCACTCCTTGGACTCCAGCTAGAGAAATACAGACCAAGATTTGTGTATAAGGAAATCAACACAGTGTTAATTATTTTGAAAAAAAAAAAAAAAACTAAATTCAACAATAGAAGAATGGCTAAATGAATTTATTTGTACCTCTACCGATGCAGTCATTAAAAATCTTATTTTTTAAGAATATACAATGTTAAAGGAAAAATACGGTTTCTAAAACTTTACTGCATTTTATACATTACAGTTTTGTAACTATAGTTACAATGTAAGTATGCATATATTTTATACTGACTATATTATATTTCATATTGATATTTATACAGTCTTGTACTCCATAGCAATGTTTTAGTCAACAATGGACTGCATATTAGGACAGTGGTCCCAAAAGATTATAATATTTCTACATTTAGGTATGTTCAGATACACAAATACTTATACAGGTTTGTAACCTAGAAACAATAGGCTTTACCTTACAGCCTAGGTGTGTAGTGGGCTATACCGTCTAGGTTTGTGTAGGCACACTGTATGATCACATGATGAAATCAGCTAATGTCGCATTTGTCAGAATGTATCCCCATCATTAAACAACACATGACTGTATATTGATTATATTTTTCTAAGTAGCCATACGTTATAATTATATTGATAGTTTATGTTGACATTGTATTTTCCATTGGTAGAAAAAAGACTAGAAAGATATAAATATAAATGTTAATAGCAGTTATCACTGAATGTTGGTAGTATGTAATATTTATTTTCTTCTTAATACTTTGTATTTTCTATAATGACATGATTTTATGTGCCCGTATATTAATGCATGCCTTATTTTAATCAGAAAAAATTTTAAAATTTAATGCATGTTATTTCTAGTTCCATTATTAATCAACACTAGAAGGTAGAGTCTATGAACACAAAAGAACTTGAAATCTAGCTAATTTGTTCTATTAGGTTGGTGCAAAAGTAATTGCAGTTTTGCCATTGAACGTAATGGCAAAAACCACAATTACTTTTGCACCAACCTAAATAGATACAGAGAGTAATAATGCATAGAGTAAACCTTTTCTGTTTTGGAGCATGGGCAATATTGTATTGCCCATCCAACAGTGGGGATGATGCAATACATACACCATTGCAGATGTGTTCGGCGGCACCTACCCCTGGGTATCTGCTTGTTGTGAGGAGATGAGGAGGTGGAAAGGAGCATTTAGAAAGTGAGCAAGAGTAGAGTCACATCGCTCGGCTCAGATGAAAGGGCCTTTCCAGCACAAGTCTCCAAACACACAGAAAATATGCATTACTTATAAGGGACAGTTTATTCAATGATAGTTTATTTTATTCTCTAGAGTATGGACTTCACTAACAGGGAACATTCAAGGCATACATCTATTAATAAACTGGAATATGAGAATGAAAGGCTCCGAAATCATCTTGCGAAACTTCGTGTCAATGGAAAATCAACACGGACTAATCAAAACACCTATGAAGAAACAGGAAGATATGCCTATCAAAGCCAAATAAAAGTGGAAAAAAATGAAGAGAGGTATGCTGGCTCCATTATATAAGGGCATAAGTTTAAAAACATGTAATTAAAATTTATTTTTAAAGAATTCAAATTATAACTTTATATACTTTCTCTTCTGTGGTTTAAAATTATTTTATAATGATAATGCAGTAGACTAGATACACTGCTTTATAAGAAATTGTGTCGATTTGAAATGCGTGGAGTATTACAGTGGACTTTAGTTTGTTAGTCATCTCAGATCATTTTTGGAAGCTGAGGTGGTATACAAAACATACAGATAAGTAATTTTACTTTTGATGTCATGGGAACAGAGAAAACTAGATTTTAATATGTTAGGTATATTGTTCAAACAAAATAGAAAATATAGGAACATGTCCCTTCTCACCTACCTTCAATAATAGATACACTTTCTTTTTTTGTTGTTTTTGGCTTTTGGGGTTTGTTTGTTTGTTTTGAGACGGAGTCTCGCTCTGTCACCCAGGCTGGAGGGCAGTGGTGTGATCTTGGCTCGCTACAACCACTGCCTCCCAGGTTCAAGTAATTCTTATGCCTCAGCCTCCCAAGTAACTGGGACTACAGGCCCCTGCCACCACACCCAGATAATTTTCGTATTTTTAGTAGAGACAAAGGTTTCACCATGTTGGCCAGGCTGGTCTTGAACTCCTGACCTCAAGTGATCCACCCACCTCAGCCTCCCAAAGTGCTGGGATTACAGGCGTGAGCCACCGCACCTGGCCAACAGATACACTTTCTATTGACATTCTAGCAGTGGCAACAAATTATTGGCGATTTTGTAGGGAAGGAATCTATGAATGTATAGGTTTTCTCCAAATGAAGAGAAGTGTATGGAAAATCATTATCTGCTGTCCACATTATTCCCATACTCTGTAAAAGGTCTTATTAAAAATTCAAATATATCAACCATAAAAATAGGCCAATTTATTCTATTTTAATAAAAGATTTATGGAGTCATAACTGTCTCTGAAAGCCTTTTACTGTTTTCCCAAACTTGGGAAATGCTGAATGAAATAAGCAAGTTTCTTTTATACAATATTTCTCAGAGCCATTAATATGTTAACTTACACTGTGAGTGTCCAACAAGGGATATGGTATGCAGCACTCCCCAGACATATTTGATATCAATTTATTATTTAATTTCATAGTGCCAAGAAATGGTGGATTAGTAGGTCCAGACCCAACTTCATTGCAACATTTGCTCATAAGCTCATAATATTTAGTGTGAAAAACCTTATATTTTGTTGTTATACAACAGAATTAATATTTACAGCTCTGGAAAATTTTCTTAACCTTTATCATCCTCGATTTTCTATCTGACAAGATTAATAATTGTAGGATTTTCGTGAAGATTATAGGAGAAAAACTGCATACAACTTATAGTTCCATAAATGTAAACCATTATTACTAACAAAATTGTTAGTATTTATAATAATATTAATATTTCTCCCACAGCTTATGGTACCTAAAAAGTATATTTTGGCAAGTAGACAAATGGCTGAATCTGACATAGCCTCAAAGATACTTCTGTTGGGGAGAGGTGGTGCCAGACTCATCTGTTTAAGTAAGCATACTCAGCTCTGCAGGTAGATAAATCCATAAGTCCATGAGATATATTAAAAAAAAATATGTTCAACATAAAACAGATGTTCAACATTCTTGTGGGTATAGTACAGTTCCCCCCTACTTTCAGCACCTCAGCCATGTATATATTAGAAGGATATATTGTAGCCCTATACAGGAAACAGTAACCATTCAAAAGCACCAAATGAATAACCCCTTTTCAGGTAAAGAAGCAAATGAAGGAGGACTGACTGCCACCCCTGGAAAGCATCATGGTGGGGTGCTGTGGTGGGGTGTTGGTAGTGGCAGCAGCAGCAGGATAAAAGCAGTGTAGGAAGGATGAAAGAGGTCACTGGGCGTGACCATAGACCAGTTCGCTGGTGAATGTGTCCATGTGAAGATCTGTCCAAAGGAGTGTAATCTTGATTTTGGTGTAAGAATATATGTTCTAATATGGAATAAATAAACTTTACAGAGTACTTATGGATTCATTCTCCATTGGTCAAATTATGACTCCCATGTACTGTATATAGTTGCCTCATTGCAAGAGAAAAGCAAGCCCATGAAGACACTATAAAGGGTCACCTGTGTATGTTAGTCACTGATCTGTATTGAGCACCCATTGGGTACAGAACACTATTTCCTATTCATGCTAGTTGGAAATAACTGAAAGCTTTAGATGGAGATACCAGGTGTTGTTATTTAAACAAAAAAACAGTTACTCTGCCTTTTATTACTTTTAGAAGGTATTTTTATTGTTTGGGTTGCCCCCTTTTTTCTCTTTGTCAGGCAGTACAGAATGTGTTAAAAGTGTCTAACAAAAACAAGACAGTAGGGGACACAAAAAGCAACATCAGAGGTAAAATGCTCAGCAGGAGATTATCTTAATAAGCAGTTTAGGCTGCTATTCCTGCTGCAAAGCCTTGTGTCCTGCCAGTTTCATTTGTTGAAAGTTTCATTAAATTTGTTTTAATGCCTTGTCTGATTTCAGTGTTCTCCAGTGACCTGTTTTTTAAAAGAAACAGCATTTCAAATGTTCTGAATAAATTATTACCATGTAAAACCTACTATGGGGAAGAGTTGTTAAGATACAAGGACATTGTGAATTCACCAGTGAAGAACTGCAAAGCAGATATCTCTCTGTTAATGTTACCAACTGAAAAATGAAATCATCTTGCTTTCCCTCACAGCACAGCTCAGTGAAGTGAAATAGTAAAAACCTATATATGTATATTTGTTAGGCATAAATTAATCAAAAACATACAAATTATCTTTACATATCAATGGCTAATCCAGTAGGGTCTTGTTGAAGTATTTGAGGAAGGAAAAACCTTTTAGATAAAAGTATATGAAGAAAATGTTCCACAAAATGTTAAGATCCATAGTCTAATTTTAAGGCAATTCTTGTTTTTAACTGAGGAAGATTTGTATAATACATTCTTAAAATAATATTTTATTCATTCTGAAGCAACTCGGTTTTGTTGTTTTTCACTCCTGTTCAAAGTGATACATTTTTAATGTTCACTCACTTAAAATGTGAAGCATTTTAGGATCTTCTAAAGCATTTGCTTTCCAATAAGACAGGTACTTAGCACTTTCTTAAAAAAAATGAGTGAGAAGTGATTGAATTTGGTGTGGATGTTTTAAATATTGTTTTTAAAAGTTAGAGTTTTGAAGTTTCAGGATAATTTACAAGCTAATTTGGAGTAGTGGTATCCAGAGCTATTAATATGTAGCTAATTTTAATGACAAATCAATTTTGTAATAAATGGAGTTTTATCTCTATATAAGACACATGTTTAAAAATGAATTTATGGTTTTAAAAGTTGTATCATGTACTAGACAGATTTTAGCAGTCAAACATTAATCATTAAAACAGCTTCAAGTCTAGCTAATAAATTAAGAGTTTCTAATACTAAAAAACCACAGTCATCAGGTTTGTAATAACCACTCACAAGATCTCTTGTCAAGGAATGAATAGCCATCTAGAAGCCTAAAGTTGAGAATGTTTGTACCGTGGTTTTGCTCAATAAGTAGCAAAACGCAGGTTGACAGTTCTAGGCCAGGAAACAATGAGCAGTTCACGGAATAGGGAGTTTAGTGGAGTGTTGGAAGGTGAGGCTGGAAAAACGTAAAGAAGGAATCTTGCTCCATGCTAAGAACATTATCCTATGGCCAAGGAGAATATTAATGGAGGGACAGGACTGGATGTACATGTCCAACAAAGCTGAAAATTGTGAAGCGTTGACTCAAGTCTCAAGTGGACAGAGTTCTGCTCCCCAGCAAAGCAACTGGGGCCTGCTGTCCTGGTGAAACCATGCAGCAGCCTTGTAATAGGCCTGTGGAAAAGATCATTGAATAGATCAGCTTGTGAAAGGATATTAAAAGCCTTCCGCAATCATTTTTAAGATAGCTTTTAAATTGATATGTATAGCACTTTATGCAAGGTGGTTTTATGAAGTATTTGAATAGCTGTATTCTTGAAGAAGAACTTGTCAAGATATAAAGATGATTTAAAACAAAAGTACTTTACTTCATAATGTCATCTTTCCTTTCAATCTCTACATTTTATTGATCTTATACTAAAAAGAATGTCCCTATATAAATGTTAGTAATTAACACCATAAAACTGTATCTGTACATCCAAAGCAAAATGGATAATTAAGATAATTATTTAGATAATTTAGCACAAATAATACTTTGCTGAAATCTCTGTGAGATAACAGAGAGATATCTATTTCTTGAATCGCTACTAATTGTTTTCACCGTGCTTTGAAGTATAGATAGTAACCTCACTCAAATTAAAAGGTTCAGCTAAAGATTATATGCAGATGTACTATGCAAATGTTATAATTCTACTTGAATTGTGAGATGTTTCATCTTATTGTGCACATCATAAACCATGTTATTTCAGTTTAATTTGCTGTTCTGTTTCCATGGTAATTATAGTTTGGGAGAATGAGTAAAAAAAAAAGATATATCTCAAGATAAGCAAAAATGGAAAACATGTTGTGTTTGTTTCTGTGTACTAATTTACAGATGCCTCACTTAACTTTTATTGCTATTTGTATGCATAGCTTTGAAAATGTTTGTATAATAAGAAACAAGTCTATATAAATTAGACAGTCTTTGGATAATACTGGAGAAAAATAATGTGAAAATTTTTTTAAACTCTGTTAAACTATGAAGCCTTTGAAAAGGGCTAATCAATACCTGTGGAGAATTTGAACCATTAGTAAAAATAAATAATTTCAAATTGAAGGGATTTTCGTTTTGATGGTCTTTGATTTTTTTTTTTTTTTTTTTGAGACAGAGTCTCACTCTGTTGCCCAGGCTGGAGTGTAGTGGCGCAATCTCGGCTCACTGCAAGTTCCATCTCCCAGGTTCACACCATTCTCCTGTCTCAGCCTCCCAAGTAGCTGGGAATACAGGCACCCACCACCACACCAGGCTAATTTTTTTGTATTTTTAGTAGAGATGGGGTTTCACCATGTTAGCCAAGATGGTCTCGATCTCCTGACCTCAGGATCTGCCTGCCTCAGCCTCTCAGAGTGCTGGGACTACAGGTGTGAGCCACCGTGCCTGACCTCTTTGATGATTTTATTACATCTAAACCCCAGTTTCATGAAATATATTTAATCCCAAACAGCCTATACCATTAGGACCTTTTTTGTAAAACTTTAGGATAAATTGGTTATATGTTTTATTATTCATTTGCTTAGTCATCAAACCAAAATTCAAAATCTCAATGTTATTGTTTTCACTCTCATTTTCTAACCTATTTTTTAGCACAAACTAATTCCATGCTATATGACTTTCATTGAAATAGTGGGGTTTTTTAAGTCAAGAAAATCTGGATTTGAGTCCAAAATCTAAAGACATCACTTCCCAGCAATTTATTCTGATTTAAAAAGTAAATAATTAGACGAATAATTGAACTTTTAAATCTTAGTCTCCTCATCTGTGGATAGTATCCGCCATATTAGGGTTATTTTGAAGATCAGATTAGTTTAATAATAATACCTAATCTTTACTAAACATTTACTATGTGCCAGGCATTGTTTTCTAAGTGTTTTACATATATTAATCATTCAACTCTCATAATAACCCTTTTTTAAGTGAGAAAATTAAAGTCACAGAGAGATAAAGTTACCCGCTCAAGATCACACAGCTAGTAACCGGAGGAGCTTAGGAGATGATGTAAATTGAAAGCATGTTTTAAATTATCAAAATCTATAGAAATTAGAGTTATTCAAAGATTTGTTGGCTGGGTGCAGTGACTCATGCCTGTAATCCCAGCACTTTGGGAGGTCTAGGTAGGTGAATCACAAGGTCAGGAGATCGAGACCATCCTGGCTAACACGGTGGAGCCCCGTCTCTATTAAAAATACAGAAAATTAGCCTGGCGTGGTGGCGGGCACCTGTAGTCCCAGCTACTTGGGAGGCTGAGACAGGAGAGTCTCTTGAACCTGGGAGGCGGAGGTTGCAGTGAGCTGAGATTGTGCCGCTGCATTCTAACCTGGGTGACAGAGCAAGACTCTGTCTCAAAATAAATAAATAAATAAAATAAAATACTTGTTTAGCATAAAAAAATAGTATAATTCTGTTGAGAAAGCCAGTGAGGTTAAGTGTAAAAGAGAATAGAAAAAGAGTATCTACTTAGAACTGTCAAGGGCAGCAGTGTAATTAGCTGTTTGGAGATTTTTCTCAAACTGCTTTACGTTATTAAATGACAAAGACATACAAAAGTATAGCACAGAAAGGGAAGCAATATAGGCAATAAGGATCACAAAATAGTTTTAACAACTGTTAAGTTTTCCGCTTCATTTTTAATCATCCTAAGTCCTTTAAATGAAATAGAAATTATTCATCAGGAAAGTCATATTCAAAGAAACGGCCAGGTAAGAAGCCCAAACATTTTGTTGTGTTTTCCCCCTATTTAGACATCTGAGAGATTAAAATCCTTAGCTACATAAATAAACATGTCCTTGATAGCAACAACAACCATTTCTTCTCTTTTAGACTTAGTCATGATTGTGAGCCAAATAGAAGTACGTCTCCCTTGCCACCTTTGACATTTCAAACCAAAGAAATGACAAGTCCTTTGGTTAGTGATGATGATGTATTCCCACTGGTGAGTTGCTGGTTGTGGGCTTTTTTTTTTTTTTCTTTAATGGGTTATTGCTTTACTCTTACACTGATGTCAATAAACTGATGTACATAGTACTTTGTTTTTAACCTCACTCCTTGAATAGGACTCCAAGATGGGTCTGTAAGTCATTTGGCCATACCTATCTATAGAAGGAAAAGATATCCATAATATTTCATAAAGTGTTTCAGTCAATGGTTACTAACCTCTAATGCAGGCCAGAATTACTGGAGATGGTTTTTTTAAAAAAATGCAAGTGTTTGGGACTCACCCTTCTATATTTCATGAGTCCTCACGGATCTGTACATTTTAAAGAGCTACAGTGATCTTTTGGACTGATTTAAAACATCTTTTCTATTGACTCTGCCATACGTGCAGACACATGTACAAATCATAAATGGACAACTTGATGAGTTATCACAAAAGGAAGGTAACTACCACCCAAGTAATGAGCAGAACATCCCCAGCACTCCAGAACCGCAACTCATGTTCCCTTCCAGTGTCTACGTCTGCTTGCCCCCAACATAACCACTATCCTGACTTTTAGCATTATCGATTTGTTTTGCCAACTTGCAAATTTTATATAAACGATATCATATGGTATATGTTATTTTGTTTCTGGCTTCTTCTTCTCAACCTTGTTTTTTAGATTCATCATCACCCATATTGTTTTATACAGCTGTGGTTTATTTTTGTTTCTCTATAGTAATCTATGGGATATAAACACCACCTTCAATGACAATAACATTTGTTTATTCATTCTACTACGGATAGACATTTGAGTCATTTCCAATTTGGGGCTATTACAAATAATGCTGCCAAAAAATTCTTTTATGAGTCTTTTGGTGCATGTATATATACATTTCCACTGGGTATATATACCTAAAATGGAATACCTAGGTCAGAGGGTATGAATACGGTCAGCTTTAGTAGGTACCGCCAAACTGTTTTCCTGTAGGAGCCAATGAATACCCCAAGTAGTGTGTAAGAGTTGTCCTTGCTCTACAGTCTAACACATGGTAATATAAGCCTTTTTAAATTTAGCCATTATGGTCAGTATGTAGTAAGATCCTTTTGTATGGTTTTAATTCATGTTTCTCTGGTGAATAATGAGACTGAGCAACATTTATTGGCCATTTTGATATCCTTTATACAATATCTGTTCAATTTCCTCACTTAATTTTCTGGTGGATTGTCTTTATTGTTACTGATTTATGGGTATCCTTTCTACTCTTGATATAAGCCCTTTGTTGCTTATGTGTTGGTTTTGATTTGTAATAGTAGAGACTAGAAGTAAAAGTTAAGCTATTTTGGTAGAAGAATGCTTAAAACCATTAGCTTTTGAAGTATTAGAGATCTCTAAAGCCCTGAAATGCTCTTTTGTGTTCATCTCAACATAAAATGCCAATGTTATTTGAACAGACTAAAATCCATGCCAATAATGTAAACTAAATAAAATTCCTCATTTAAGTTATGAGAAATTCTAAGGGGACTTTGCAAATTCTGCATCAATAAAACTTTGATCATTAAGGACTTAAGCACATATTTCAGTCAAGCAATGGAAAAAGTTGCTAAATACTCCACTGTGCTAATATCAGATGATTTCAGGATTTTTAGGATCACAATTACTGACTGCTCAAATATCACCTTATCAGATACGCCTAAGCAACTAGTCTGCAGTAGTGCCTCCCTCTTCACTCCCTGCCCCTCATCTTACCTTTTCTCATAGCACTTCACTATGAGACATTTTGTTGCTTGGCCTCCCTCCGTTAGAATGTATGCTCCATGAAAGCAGGGGCTGTTTTCTATTTTTGTTCTTGTGGTAACCCAACACCTAAAATAGGCTCGGCACTAGTAGGCACATAAAAGACATGCAGAAGTATCTGTTGATTTGATTTAATAACACGGGGCTTCCTTCTATCTCTAAAATTCTACATTAATCTTTTGAGGAATTCCTAACCTCCAGAGTAACCAGGAAAGAAAATTCTCAACTCTTCTAAGAACTGGGCCTGGGGAACTTAATCTGTGATGGAGGCCTTAAAATCCTATGAGAAACCACTGTTCTAGGTGTAGTGGTTTCCATCTACTACTGCATTTTGACATCCACATCACTACCATTCCTATCAAGACCACTGCTGATCTTCTAGTTGCAAATTAAATGCACATTTTGAAGTATTCATCTTTCTTAATCTTTTTGTCTTGAGACTCTTATGTTCTCTGGCTTCTATGACACTATACTCCACTGATTCTCATGTCACCCTCTGACTACTGTTTCCCAGCCTGTTTCTGGGGTTCTCCCTCCTATTTCTGTCCCTTAAATATTAGTGTTATTTATTCATAAAATAAAATAAACATGTATTGAATACCAACTATATGGCAGCTCCTGTTCTAAACATGTCTTTGAATAAGATAGATACATAAGTAGTATGGTGAAAAAATAGACGAAACTTCATCAGTGGATGAATGGATATTCAGATTGTGGTATATACATACAATGGAATATTATTCAGCCATTAAAAGCAGCTATGCCAAAAAAGGCCAAAAATTACTACAATGTGGATGAGCCTCAAAAACATGCTAAGTGAAAGAAGCCAAATGCAGAAGGTATTGTATAATTCCATGTATATTAAATAGCCAGTATACGTAAATGAAATCCGTAGAAACAATGCAGATTGGTGGTTACCAGGGGCGGTGGGGAGGGAGAAACAAGGAGCAGTAGCTTAAGGAGCACAGAGTTTTCTTTATGGATAATGAAACTATTTTGGAACTAGATAGAAATGGTGGCTGCAAAACATTGTGAATGTACTAAGTGCCACTGAACCGCTCATTTTAAAATGGTTAATTTTATGTGAATTTTATCTCAAAAACAAGAGGAGAAAAATTAATGATCGGAAATAAATGAACAAATAAGAAAATATCAAGACCAGGCGCCGTGGCTCACGCCTATAATCCCAGCACTTTGGGAGGCCGAGGCGGTCAGATCACCTGAGGTCAGGAGTTCAAGACCAGCCTGGCCAACATGGTGAAGCACCGTCTCTACTAAAAATACAAAAATTAGCTGGGCATGGTGGCGCATGCCTCTAGTCCCAGCTACTCCAGAAGCTGAGGCAAGAGAATCACTTGAACCTGGGAAGCAGAGGTTGCAGTGAGCCGAGATAGGATCACTGCACTCCAGCCTGGGCAACAGAGCAAAATGCTATCCACCCCGTCCAAAAAAAAAGAAAAAGAAAATATCAAATAGTAATAAATGCTGTGATGAAAAGAAAAGCAGGCAATGTGATAGGGAGTGATGAAAGTATGGGGGATTATTTTAGGTTGAGTAGCCAGGAAAATTATCATTGAGAAAGGGAAATTTAAGGTGAAACCCAAACAATAACAAATCCAGTCTTGCAAAGATCTGGTAGAAGAGAGTTTCAAGTAAGGGAACTATAAGGCAGGAATGAGTTTGGCAGGTATGAGAACCAGAAAGACTGGGGGGCCTTCTGGAGCTTAGAAGGGAAGAGGGAGACTGGAACAAAAGGGAACAGAGAAGTCTCAGGGGAAGTCCAGTATATGAGGACACTAAGTCATGGAAAGGAGTTTGGATTTTATTTTAAAACAATGGGAAGCCATTGTAAAGTTTCAATTAGGAAAATACTGGTCTGTTTACTCCATTCAAAATTATTTTACTCTATTTAATAATAAACAGACATGTTTAAATTTTTAAAAAGATCCTTTTTACTGCTAAATAAAGAATAAATTATAGAGGGGCAAGGGTAGAAGAGGAGACAACTATCATAAGGCTATTGCAGTAGCCTAGGCAAGAGATAATGCTGGCTTGGTAGCAGTGAGGTAGAGCAACATATTAGATCCAGGAAATATTCTGGTGTGTAGACCAGACTTGACAATGAATTGTATATGGGAAGTGGGAGAAAAGAGTGATCAAAGACGACTCCTAGGATTTCAACCTGAGCATTGAGTAGACGCTAACACCACTTTCTGACATGGGAAGACCAGGGAAGAAATAGGGTTAGAGGAGAAATCTTGATTTCTAGGTTGGATATATAAGTTTAAAATGTTTACTAGACACCCAAACATAGACATTAAATAGTCAATATGTGATATGTGAATCTGATATCAAGGGCGAGATCACAGCTGGAAATATAAATATGGGAATAATCAGCATGTGATTGGTATTTAAGTCTGTAGAACTGGATGAAAATACTTAAGTATAAAGAAGAAATCATTCCAATACAAAGCCTTGGGTCATAATATTGAGTGACCTAATAGGAATCCCAAAGGAAAGGAGGAAAGTTTGATAATGAAGAGGATGGGGCTCAAGGAGGGTCCTCTTTCATTTGCAGAAACAAAGTCACTGAGAGGTAAGAAGAAATAGGATCCACAGTATAGGAGGAAGGATGAGTTTCTGAAACAGGAGGATGGCCTAAAATTCAGCTACAGATACAAATGGATGTGAAATAATGAGAGAGCTCCCCTGTGACCCCTGGGAGGAGGCCAGGTCACAAGGTAATGAGTAAGAAAGTGAACATACCAGGGAAGTGCAATAGAATCGCCTCGTAGTGTTCACTGACCACATGGTACTTATGGTCATGAATTTAAAGTGAAACTAGTCCATGCAGTAATTTACCCCCAACCTGTTGGCCCCAGCATTCAGCTGCTCAGGTGTAGGCATGACCCAGGCAGATGGGTCAACTTAATTAGGGGTGGGTTTTACTGGGTTATTAGGATAGAGACAAGATACAGGGAGAGACAAGTTGCTGAATGGTTATGAGATGGATGGGAATAAGCAGAGTCACAAGGGAAGAGAGAGTATGAGGAAGATGATGGATAGTGAAAAGGAAAGAGTCTAAATGAGGTCAGAGAACTTCTGATGTGGGAGTACTAGATTAAGCATGCTGGAAGGATGATGGATAGGTTGCTTTAAATCTCAATTAGTAAATAATGCAGTTCTCATTGATGATAGTGTCAAGGACATGCTATGTGGGTGGATGCCTGAGATGAAGGATTCCCCAGGGCTCCATCTTTTAACTTCTTTTTTTCCTTTTACTTGCCTATCTTGGATAATTTCAATCTTATGGCCTGTCATCTATAACTTCCAAGTCTGTCTCTCTGATTCAGATCTGTATTCTGAGTCCTAGACTGACATATCTCACTGTTTGCTTGAGTCTTTTTAAGTCTCATGTCACCTCAAACTCATTATTATTCAAAATTGAATCCATTTTCTTCACTCATAAACTAACTAAAAAATTTTATTGAAAACACACTGACCCAGAATCTGTGCTAGAACCTGGTGAATCAGAAATAAATAAGAGGCCAGGAGCTGTGGCTCACACCTATAATCTCAGGCCAAGGCAGGAGGGATTGCTTGAGCCCAAGAGTTCAAGACCAGTCCGGGCAACAGAGCCAGGCTCCGTTTCTACAAAAACTTTTTTAAAAAAAAGCCGGGTGTGGTGGTGTGTCCCTGTAGTCCCACCTACTGGGGAAGCTGAAGTGAGAGGATCACTTGAGCCCAGGAATTGGAAGTTAAGAGTTAGCTGTAGTTGTACCACTGTGTTCCATCCTGGGCAATAGAGCAAGACACTGTCTCAAAATAAATAAATAAATAAAAGAAGGAAGATCTTACTCTTAATGGCTTCTTTTACCTTTTTCTCTTTCTCAGTAAACGGCATGAGTGTTACTAATCACTCAGGCCAGAACCTAGGAAGTCATCTGTCTGAGATCAGGTTTTCTAGAACCTAAGATGAGATTCTTGTGAAAGTGACTTACTGAGGGAGTATTTTAGTGTTTTCAGGGGGAGAGTGAAGGAGACAGGCTATGGGGGGGGAGAAAAATTAAGCAAAGATGTGGTCTCAGCTACAAACTAGTATAGCCTGGTGTCCCAGGAAGCTTGGCACCTAAATTGCACCACAGCATTGGTTCTCACCGAACAACAAGTCTGGTATTTTATGCCCCTGTGTCCATCAATCAATCATTGCCTCAGAGAGGGTAGCGAATGGGCAGAGGAGGGACTGCAGCTTCCCAAGTGAGGCAGGAGCCTCCAGTTCAGTGGAGGGCAGTTCCCCAAAGGAGCCAGCTGTGAGCTGTTAGTAGCCAACACCCACCCAGCTGGAGGAGAGATGCATCAGCCTGGGAAGGGGATCCAGGTAGGGCACCAACCACCATGGTTGCACCACTCAGAACCAGCTTCTTCCATAGCTTCCATTCAGGCATAGCTTCTTTATGATTCTTACTGGTCATAATTTCTGAAAAAACTGTTTAGAGGAAAGTTAGTGAGATAAGCCACAGCCCTTGATGCTGCAATTGGTCGCTGACACCTATCATTGCCTCACCCCTTCTAGATTCCTCTCCCCATCAGCTAACTCTTCGGTTGATCCAGGTGGCTTTTCTTTTGAGGTGAGCCCCTAATGTCCATGCCCTTATTAGGATATGGTTTCTGTATTTGCCAATTAAAATTAAAACTGGGCATGAGAGTAACAAAAAGATGCCTCAGAGGATCATCAGAGTACCAAACACATTCCTCACTGCCTCTGTTATGCAGTAGCATTCTTACCTCTTCAGGATGACTTAGGGTCAGCTACCTCTGCCAGTATAGGAACACCACTCTGTGTATCTGATATGTTGGCATGAGGAGCCCAAAGTGACCACATGGGAGCCAAAGCTCTAGGTTTGGTGGGACTCTTACAGGTCTTGTGGTAGAAGCATTCTGCCTCTAAGACCCAGGACCTGTAGAACAACAAAGCCTAAAGATACATAGACAGAAAGCACAGATTATCCAAGTGGGTTAACAGAAGTGATAGAGAGTGGAGCCATTCCTGCTTCCTCCCTTTTGTTCCCAGAACCATGTATTCTACCCGTTGGAAACACAGAACCATAAAACAGCCATTGGTTTAAAGTGTATACCACATCCTGAAGAATGGCACCCCAACCTCACAGGATATAATCTCCAAAATGGTGCCTCACCTTTGCCATCAAGAGGCCATCCCAAAGCTCTATCATGCTAGCATCCTCTGGATAGTGCTGTGTGTGGTTAGGACCAGTGGATACCATGGTCATGCCCGTACTGCCATACTCTTTTGCTATAAAGTAGGTATCTCTACTATTAAGCAGGGTCTCTCTCATGTCTGCAGGTAAGTGATTCTGTGAGCCCTAAGATAGTGGTGCAGCCAGGAAAGGCAAACATGCAGAATTCATATCCATTCTGATAAGGATACAGCATGGCCATTTCCAAGGTACTAGGGACCTAATGCAGTCAAGTTGCCACCAAGAGGCTAGCTGGTCTCCTTGAGGGATGATGCCATATCAAGAGCTCAGCTTTAGTTTCTGTTGCAAGCAGGTCAGACATTCAACAGCAATGGTCGCTGGATTACCCTTAGTGAAAAGGGAAACCATGGTATTGGTATGATGCATAATTCCCACTGAGGTAGCCAAAGACAGAGGATGGATCAAATCATCCTACTTGCTGGATGCTCTGTCTCAACCAGGACTCAACAACATGACGAGAATTGTCTTGCAAATAGTATATAGGTTTCGGCTACAGATGGCATAGTCTTGTTCCAAAATCTTAAGGGTCTGTGATACAGCTTTCCCACTGAAACTTTCCAGAGGCTCCACAACGCATTTTCCTCTACCAGAGATTCTTCCAGTATGGGATCTACCAAGTCATTTGACCAAAGTAGCAGGACTGCTTGTACCCTATCCTGAACCTACTACACAGCTCTTCTAGAGTTCTGGGCTTGCTCAAAAAAAATTGTTTTCTGTGTTGCCCAATAAATGAATCTGATTATTCAATTATTTGATCCAAGGGTGGAACATTTTCAAGGTGCATTAATTTTTGCTTTACCTAGGATGTTCTGACATGCCCCATAGCAGCAGACACCTAAAAACAACGTGTCAAGCCCCAATCTTTTACAGGGTTTATCTTTCACCCTCTGGCGTACTTGCATCTTTCCATCCCTTTAATATACTTGCTACTTCTTGCTCATCAAGTCTCATTAACATGATGTTAGTGTTAATATATGATGTTCCATGTGATAGTCTTTGGAATGTCCAGATGGGCTAGGCCCCTTCAGAATTTATTGTGACAGCTTCATTAATATAACATTGGGGCAAAACCATGGATAAATACTGTTGGCCACCCCATTTGAATGCTAACTGCTTCCTATCCTCCTTTTTATTAGATATTAAAAAGAATGCATTTGCTGATATTAAAAAGAAACCATTTGCCAGATCAATAGTAGCATACCATCTACCTCAGGCTGTGACAGTCTTCTCTAGCAGAGATACTATCCCTGACACAGCAGCTACAGTTGGGGGCTACTAGTTGGAAAAGTGTGCAGTACTCCATCATTTGCATGATCCCTAGTTTTGGCAGGGGCCAGATTGGTAAACAAAATCCACCTATAACAAGGTTCACATGTATACAGATTGTCAACTCCCCAAACACTACATAAAGTCCCATTCTTCCTACCAAAATGAAAGTCAAAGAAGAATATAGTAACCACAGAACTGGAAAATTAAAGTACAAATTTCCCCAACTAAAAAAAAAATTACTTAATTTTTGTATGTGGCTTTTTAAAATGAAGAATTGTAAAATTATCTGATGTTGTCCTTTATTCCTTAGCTACAGATTTTTATTTTTACTTTTTGTAAATAAGCACTAAACAGGTCACAAACAGTTAAATAGCATTTTCATGTCACCATGAAGGCTGGAATTGGGGCACTCGTCCCTGATACTTTCTTCTCTATGATAAGACAAACAAGATACATGCCAGCATCACAGCCCTCCCTACTAGGGAGCCACCTCCACCCCAAGACACATCATGCAGCCAGCCTTCTCACCTGGCTAACTCCAAGCATTGATTCGCCCTGTCAAAGCCAATCCTTATTTTCTATATAACCCTTCTGGTGCAATTCCACTATAATCTTTACTTTAACTTTTTGGAGTTGCCTATTTTCAAATGAAAATCACTGGCTTTGCAAATGATTGCAGCATGTTTTAGGCAGGTTCCATGGTGAGTGCATTGTCCCTGCATTTGCGGTTGGACAATGTAATACTCATTTCTAGAGCTTTTTAATGTAATGGTGCTGTGATGTCTTACTTAGTTCCTTGAAGATTTCATTACTGGTAACTGAATTACACTAGTAGTAGGAATTCAGCCCAAGATGTGTTCTTTAATTAAGAGCTGCAGTGTTTGACAGTATGTCAGGGATGAAGCATGCCTGGAAATGTGAAGATGTTTAAAAGCTCTGTATTCCTCATTCACTTTTCTTTCTTTCTCTCTTTAGTCTCCCCCAGATATGTCCTTCCCAGCATCTTTGGCTGCACAGCATTTCCTTCTGGAAGAAGAGAAACGAGCAAAAGAACTTGAAAAACTTCTAAATACACATATTGATGAACTGCAAAGACACACAGAATTTACTCTTAATAAATACTCCAAACTAAAACAAAATAGACACACATGAGCTTTTAAACTTTTTTATTTGCTTCCCCCCCACCAAGAAAAAAAGCTCTGGCAAAATATTTACAAAGCTGATTAATGAAATCAAGAAATTCTGTTCTGTTTCCTTGAGTAAATAATTTTGGTAAGGCAGCTAGAAAATAGTAAGTATTTTGTTCGATAAAGCTGTTTGCATTTCTGCATTAACATGCTAAATTGTCCTACTGTAGAGTTACTATAAAATAAACATGACTATTTCAAAAGAGATTTTTTTTTCCAGTCTAAGGAATATGTTGAAATTAAATATGCAGTATTTTCCCCACTTGAATCATGTATACTGAAAACCCATTTCCTCAGCAACTACACAAAATAAGGGAAAGGGAAGTGCTATATTCCAGATACAAACGACTCAAAGGCAGCTCAGTTGTACTGGTTTTGAAAACTCAAGGATTTTATAAAGAAAAATATTTAAGTATTTCCAGTTATGTAAACACTCTAAAATTCTACAATTTTTTGGAAAAAAAAAAGCTATAGCTTTACTGTTTTTACATTCACCTTTATAATGTCTGTCTGTTTCAACACAATGAAGGTACATGGAATGTGCAATTTACAAACCTAAACTATATGTGCCAAAAATTAACGCTTTTTTGTTAGTACTAATTACTTCACGGACACGAACAAGATAAAGGAAATATGAAGCATTACTGTTGCTACATTTTTCTTTGTAATCACCTCTGTTTTTAATGCAATGAAGGAATGTAAAATTCAATGGACTTGAAGCATAAATGCTAAATCTGTATAGAACACTAATAGCATGGCTGTGAACAATAAAACAGGTTACAAATACACAGCAATAATAGAATATACTTTAAGAGTTTCGTGTGTGTGTGTGTGTATATATATATATATATATATATATACGAAGAGAGATTATGAAAGAAGGTAAGTCCTACTATAGCTTTTATGGTTTTCTATTTCCCTTTAAAGAAACAATCTCAACATACTGAAAGATAAACCAAAATGCCATTAGGTAACAAGTGTCATTTTCATGTGAAAAATACAGAGCATTGTAGACTTCAGATGACATGACCACATGTATTTGTATAGCTCTGGATGTTGGAAGAAAAAGAAAAGATGTATTCGTATAGCTCTTGATGTTTGTCTTAGCTTAGCCTGCTATAACAGAAATACTACAGACTGGGTGACTTAAACAACAAACATTTATCTCTCACAGTTCAGAAGGCTGGGAAGTCCAAGATCAAGGTGCCAGCTAATCTGGTGTCTGGCGAGGGCCCACTTCCAGGCTTGTTGACAGCCACCTTCTTGATGTATCTTCACATGGCAGAGAGGGAGTATCTCTCTCGTATCTTCTTCTTCTTTTTTTTTTTTTAATTATACTTGAAGTTCTAGGGTACATGTGCACAACGTGCAGGTTTGTTACATAGGTATACATGTGCCATTTTGTTTTGCTGCACCCATCAACTGATCATTTACATTAGGTATTTCTCCTAATATTATTATCCCTCCCCCAGCCCCCCACCCCTCAACAGGCCCTGGTGTGTGATGTTCCTTGCCTTGTGTCCATGTGTTCTCATTATTCAGCTCCCACTTATGAGTGAGAACATGCAGTGTTTCCTTTTCTGTCCTTGTGATAGTTTGCTGAGAATGATGGTTTCCAGCTTGATCCACGTCCATGCAAAGGACATGAACTCATCCTTTTTTAAGGCTCCATGGTGTATATCTGCCACATTTTGTTTATCCAGTCTATCATTGATGAACATTTCGGTTCGTTCCAAATCTGTGCTATTGTGAATAGTGCCGCAATAAACATAAATGTGCATGTGTCTTTATAGTAGCATGATTTATATTCCTTTGGGTATATACCCAGTAATGGGATCACTGGGTCAAATGGTATTTCTAGCTCTAGATCCTTGAGGAATTGCCACGTTGTCATCCACAATGGTTGAACTAATTTACACTCCCACCAACAGTGTAAAAGCATTCCTATTTCTCCATATCCTCTCCATCATCTGTTTTTCCTGACTTTTTAATGATCGCCATTCTAACTGGTGTGAGATAGTATCTCATTATGGTTTTGATATGCATTTCTATGATGACCTTTTTTTTTCATATGTCTGTTGGCTGCATAAATGTCTTCTTTTGAGAAGTGTCTGTTCATAACCTTTGACCACTTTTTGATGGGGTTGTTTGTTCTTTTCTTGTAAATTTGTTTAAGTTCTTTGTAGATTCTGGATATTAGCCCTTTGTTAGATGGGTACATTGCAAAAATGTTCTCCTGTTCTGTAGGTTGCCTGTTCACTCTGATGACAGTTTCTTTTGCTGTGCAGAAGCTGTTTAGTTTAATTAGATCCCATTTGTCTATTTTGGCTTTTGTTGCCATTGCTTTTGGTGTCTTTGCCCATGCCTGTGTCCTGAATGGTATTGCCTAGGTTTTCTTCTAGGGTTTTTATGTCTAACATTTAAGTCTTTAATCCACTTTGAGTTAATTTCTGTACAGGGTGTAAGGAAGGGATCCAGTTTCAGCTTTGTACATATGGCTAGCCAGTTTTCCCAGTACCATTTATTAAATAGGGAATCCTTTCCCCATTGCATGTTTTTGTCAGGTTTGTCAAAGATCAGATGGTTGTAGATGTGTGGTGTTATTTCTCAGGA